GTTCCTGTGCACACCCCTACACACACCCCTGCTCTCACACACACCTATGCACACATTTATTTCAGAACAAGTTTCCTGAGTCTTGTAAGCGTAGTTTTGGCCAGTGCTTTTTCAATTTGGTGCCACCCCCTCCTCTCATTTCCCCTTGGGGAGGGGTTGTCTGTACACTCTCAAAAGTTCCTTCTCCTCCCTGTTCAGCCTTGCCACACTTCAGCTTCATGGCCACAGGGCAGTGACTTCATCCTCCTGAACCTCTCTTTCCTCAGTCTATAAATTGGGGTTGCTGGTCTCGCCCTGCTCGCCTCATAGGGCGGCACCAGCATTCCCATGAGATAAGGGGAGAGAGAGCGTTTTGTAAACTGCAAATTGTTTTCCAAACAGTCAAACGTTGCTCTCGCTTTCCCAGCTCCTGAACTCAGGAGCTCCTCCACCTACACGTGAAACCTGTCCTTGGGTGGAATGGGACACAGCAGGGAGGGAGAGAGGGGGCCTGGTCAGTCCCAAGACTCCTATTCCACCTGGTGCTGCTGGAGGGGCACGGGCCCTTTGTCGGGGTCTACTGTCTGCTGGGGTTGACAGGGGTATTGGCCATTTGGCTGTAGGCTCTGGGGACAATTTGGAGACTTTGGCAATGGAGAGTGAGGGAGAAGAGAGAGGTAGAAACTGCTTCATCAAAGCCTGAGGCTAGAACAGTGTCATTTGTTTAAGGATATGTCCTCTCAGATTTGATGCTCATCTACCTGTGGTGGGGCCCTCACCTCAAGTATATCCAGGAGTCCCACCCTTAGGAGAAAGCCAGAGTTCCGTCTCACAGGTATGTGAGTGCCTGCTGGGCACTAGCTGGAGCTGCCCAGGAACCATCACGGACACTCAGCTTTGGTGGACCCCTGGGGGGCCTAAGGGACATGGCATGGGAGTGAGGTAAGGGTGAGGGGCTGCTGAGTTGGCTTGTCAGAAGACTACTGCACCTTCTTTTCTTCCTGGCTGTGACTGGGGACCAGGTGGTCCCCATAAGGTTCAGGTATTTGGATAGGGGTCCATGGAGACTTGGGGGCTACTCTGTGAAGGCAGTGATGTGGGAGTGGGGCTAGGAGGTTACTTTGCAAAGAGCCCCTGACCAGAGGTTTCCCTTCCCCTAATCTAGCCCAAAGCCTGTAGTTTCCCTCTGTGGGAAAGAGGCCCAGAGATGCAAAGGAACCACTCAAGGTCACACTGAGAAGAAGAGTAGAACCTGAGCCTCCTATATCTTAGCCCTGTGCTCATTTCTTTACCTAGGAAAATGGGGCTTTTTCTTGGGGACATCTTTTATGATGGATTGTATGGATTCATGTACTTGCATGACTGAAGCCAGTTCATAGCAATAACCTGTGGGCTGGAGTAGTCAGGATGGGCTTCTTGGAAGAAGTGATAAAATTTGGTTCACCAGAGAGGGTCGGTGAGGTGCAGTGAGGAGCAAGTTTAGCCCGGTTGTCATGTCTCTCATTTGTTGAAACTTTCTGGGTCGTCCTCAATTTAATCTCATTCTGTTCTCAGGATGGGTTGTGAGGGTTTAATCCTCTTATCCCCACTTTATAGATTTATTTGTTCAATAAATCTACAGATATTATCTGAGCCAGTGCTATGTGCCAGACCCAGAAATCGGGACCCAGAGGTGACCAGGCAGACTGGCCGTGCCCTTGTGGGCCCACAGTCTCATGAGGGAACCAACATGGTGCCAAGCTGGCTGGGGAATCAGCCATGTGGTCTGGGACCAGTTACTTTCCCTCTCTGTGTCTCCATTTCTCAGCTAAAGACTGCTGATAACAAAGCCCCTTGCTCCTAATATCTATCAAGTGCTCAGAACAGAGCCTGGCACATTGAAAGTGCAGTATCTATATGTGTGTTTGTTTAAGGAGTTATTAAAGGAACAAGCTAATTGTAGGTTGTGAGCCAGTGCTGAGCAGGAGGGAGGTAAAAAGGGTGATGACGTGGGAGCTCACTGGGGAGCTGGAAGTGTTTCTGTCTTGATGGGGGTGTGGGTCATGGGGGTGTGCAGCTGTCAAAACTCATTGAGCTGGGCTCTTGAGACCTGTGCATTTTACTGTATGTGAAGTATACCTCAATGAACAAAACACATGTATAAGAAAAGAAAAAGGGTGAAGGGAGAATGAGGAACTCTTGAGGTCCTCTTTAGTCAGGGTGGTCAGGAAGGGCTTCTGAGAGGAGATGACATTGGGGGGTACCCCTGGAAGAGGAGAAAGCTTTAGCTATAGAGAAGAAAGGTGAGGAAACTGAGGCTCTAAGAGGTTTAGGGCCACACTCAAAGCCAACCCAAGGGATCAAGAGTGACAGCCCAGGACATTTCTTGACAGCTGGGCCTGGGTGGGGCCAGGTCCAGGGCTCTGGCCCCTGTGCTCTCCCCTGCAGAGAGGCCAATGGAGGCATTTATTGTGTCTTCTAGGGGCAGCCGTCTCCCCACCCCGTGCCTGTTCTCAGGGTCTTGGCACTCAGAAAAGGACTATTTTAATCCGTGTGGGAAATGAGTTCCTAAATATGGACTGAGTAGGGTAGGAGCCATTCAGAGACTCCCACTCAGGGCAGCTCCACCTGCTCCTCCACCTCCAGCAAAGCACAGGGTACAGGCACAGGCCATGAGGCCCTCTGGCCCCTCCTTGGCCATCTATTCCCTTCCCCCTCTCCCTCCCACACCTTCCTTCTAGCACTGCCCACCTGCCCATCTTTTGTTTGTTCAGGGGCCCAGTGTTTTCTGTTGGCCTTAGCCAGGGACCTGCAGCTTGACCTGCCCTGCCTCTTCCCTAAAGCTGCTCTCAGTCTGGTTGGAGGTACAGAGGTAAAAACCACAGGGGGAAGTGCTGGAGGTCTTTCCGGATGAGGAGACATCTGAATTGAGGCCAGAAGTTTCCTCAAAAAGAGGAAGTTACCCAATGGAGAAGGAGAAGGGCAACAGTGCATGTGGCATAGGCATAGAGTGAGGGCTGTTCAGGCTTGGCAAGTACATTATTCTGACCAGAACAGAGAGGGTTGGGGGCCAAGGGTAACAGGCAGTGAGAGGAAGGCAATCCCTGCATGACAGGGAAGGTGGTGGCTGTTATTTGGAGCCATGGGGGTGGGGATTTAAAGAGTGGGGGTAAGGGGCGCCAGAGTGGCTCAGTTGGTTAGGCATCCAACTTCAGCTCAGGCCATGATCTCGTGGTTCGTGGGTTTGAGCCCCACGTCGGGCTCTGTGCTGACAGCTCAGAGCCTGGAGCCTGCTCCAGATTCTGTGTCTCCCTTCTCACTCTGCCCTGCCCCCTTTTGCTCTGTCTCTCAAAAATGAGTAAACATTAAAAAGAATAAATAATAATAAAAAAATAAAGAGTGAGGGTGAGGATAGGTGGGGCTGAGGACCCCACTAGGAGTGTTCCAGCTGTGTGTTTGGGATTTTATGAGAGAAGAGAGAGCACTCTGGTGTAGGGGTGAGATGCCAGAAGCAGGGCAGAGTGAAGAGGGGTCTTGGAGCCAGCCTGGAGACCCCTCCAGGACATGGTCAAGTCAGGTCAGACTGGGCAAGAGATAGCAAGGGGCAGGGAGAAGTGTAAGAAGGCCACGTAGAAAAGAGGTGCAGAGGGGACAGAGTGGAGAGAAAGGATGGTGCATCTTGGGCCCTGTGGCTAAAACGGGGGTACCCTGGCCACAGCCACCTCAGAACACAGTGGGGGAAAGCTAGTGTGGTAAGTGGGGGTGACTGAGCCCCTGCCCCCAGCACTGTGAGCAAGAGTCTGATACTCACGGGCTGTGTGGGCATGGAACTGAGGGATGTTCTGGGAGGCAAGGGACCCATGGCTTCCAGGCTGGGAGTCTGCCCACAGCAGCCTCCATATACATCTCCAGTCTGGACTGGTTAATGGAGCAAGAACCCCAAAACTGGTAAGGGGGGGCTTGCCCAGCTCCCTGAACCCCCAGGCCAGGGTTGTGGTTAGCAGCTGCAGGGATGGAGGAACAGCTCTGGGGCAGCAGGTGTGAGACCCCACTGCTTTCCTCTGGGCTCCCGTCTCCCCTAGCCTAGAGAGCTTGGTCCCAGAGCTGTTCCACACAGTGCCCTGCAGAGGGGAAACCAAGGCCAGGGATGGTGCAGGGTCCTGCAGGTACTGAGCAAGATGAGACTTCTCTGAGCCACAGGCTTGAATTCTGACCCTGGTCCTCAACCCTGATCAACTAGGAAACAAATGGGGCTGGGTCTCAGGTGAGCAGCCCTGCAGGGAGATGGCTTGTCACCCTGCATGCTGACTTTTCCTCCTCCCTTACACCTCCTCTGAGCAGGACCACTCCGGGGGCCTTGCTCATTTCCAGCAATTGGCGGTATGGTTAGCAGCCATAGCCTAGGGCTGAGTTAACCTGAGTGAGGATCCTGATGCCCGCCCACCCGCCACCTGCCTTACTGTGATGCATCCTGTAAGGATGACTCTGTTATTACTCCATTTTACTGAGTTGTGGGCTGTGGCTTGGAGCTGTGAATGTTTGCCTGAGGTCACACTGAGTCACTGGGGGAATTCAGCCCTAAACCCAGGTCTCACCTGACCAGGATGTTCCTCTCCCTTGCCCCCAGAACACTACCTCTGGGTTTACAACTCTTGTGCCATAACATTGCAAAAATGCAGCTCAAGGGATGTGTGGCCCCTGGCCTGGGGTCTCACACCTGATGTGTGATTTGCCTACAAAGCCCACTCAACTCCCACTTACCTGGCTGCTCTGGAGAAGGGAGGCAGGGCTTCTCTAGCCTCTGAGCCTTTCTGAGCTGTCAGCTACCCCCAGGGCCTTCCTGTGGTCATTGGACCACAAATCACAGAAACCTGGATTCAAATCCTCATTCTTCCCTTTATAAGCTGGGTGACTTTTGGCAGGTCACAGGCCTCTCTGAGCTTACATATTCTTGTCTGCAAAGTGAGGCAGTGGCACTATCTGGGTGGCTGCTGGAGAAGTGGGCTGTGTGCCTGACACTTTCTGTGCCTACCTGCCCTCAGCTCCTGTATGACAGCCCCAAGGCCCGGCAGGAGGTGGACCACCACTGGCAGGCCTCAGGAGGCCCCCACATTGTGCGCATCCTGGACGTGTATGAGAACATGCATCACAGCAAGCGCTGTCTCCTCATCGTCATGGAATGGTATGCTGTCCTTATTGGTACTCCTGTAGCCCTTAGGCTCCCACCATTCTCCTAGGGGCCCTCTCTGCTCTTCAGATATCAGCTCTGGGAGGCACCTCAGCCCTTGAGGAGTGATGGAGGGGCAGCTTCAGGCCTTGCCCATGGAGCTGTGCAGCTGCTAGCCACAGGCCGTTCCCACAAGGATGCAATGGGAACCACAGAGTCTCCAATTTGGCTTCCTTGAGTGTGATTTCACTTTGTGAGGAGGGGCTGGAAGAGTTGTCAGAGAAAGCAGCCAAGTCCTGATTGTAGGTCCAGGGAGATTTGTGGGGGGAAGCAGGACACACAGTCACCTGGGTTTGTGTTCTTGTGGTCCCTCCAGACACTGGGATCCAGTGGCCTTTTCTACCTTGGGCTTCTCCAAACAAATAGCACTGTGGCTCAGCCCTAGCCTTCCTCAGACCCTGGGCCCTGTGTCTGGATCTCAAGTTCCTCCCCACCTACCTTTAAGTTCTCCCTCATCCTATAGGTTAGCAGCTCTTGAGTCAGATTTGGGGTTCAGATCCTGGCCCTACTACCGACTGGCTGTGTGGTTCTAGGTAGCCTTAATCTCTCTGAATTCTTTAACTGCCATATAAAATGCGAAGGAGGATCTTAATGTAGTATTCACCCTGTACCTGATTCCATTCTAAGTGCTCTATGCGTATTAGTTAATCTACACAACTCTGGGACATTGGTGCTATAAATTCCACTTTACAAAAGAGGAAGCTGAGACACAGAGAGGTAAAGGGACCAGCCCTGGGTCACATAGCAGTGCATATGAAGGGTTTGCCCAGGGTACAACACCCTGTAGATGTTTAGAAAGCAGTTGTCATGATGATGACAATTGACATCTCCTCCCTCATTTGAAGAAACTGAGGCTTGGATGAGGGTTGGGGTATCCAAGCCTCAGCCAGGTGGGGGCAGTGCCACTGGGAATACAAGGGCTCCCTGGTGAGGATCTGAGCCCACCCTGTTTCTAAGAGTCCAGTTCAACCCACCCAAGTTGACAGCCCACTACGTACCAGGTTCTGCAAGGCACAGGAGGCTGACGGTGCCTCTTCCTCAGGGGCAGAGCAGCAAGGCCTGAGGTCTGGGTTCATGATTCAGAGCAGGGGCAGGCTGACACCTGATTGATGAGCCCTCTCCCTGCTTACAGTCACTTTTCTCTTCTAGCATGGAAGGTGGTGAGCTTTTCAGCCGGATTCAGGAACGTGGCGACCAGGCTTTCACTGAGAGAGGTATGTGTGTACCCCCTCGACCAGAGGGGGTGTTCTGACTGAGATGAGTCACACAGAGTTGCTGTATGATGCTGTATGAGCAGGCACGACCCTGCTCCTCTCTGTACCTCAGTCTCCCCAGCTGAACAAGAGATGGTGGGATAGAGTTTCCATCCCCCCAAGGATTTCCATGAGTTCATAATACCTTGTCAGAGATGGACTCTTCATGGCTTTGGGATGGAGGCCTCAAAGCCTCTTGGTGCCAACCAGCATCTGAACTGAGAAGAGGTAGCCCAGGCCTGAGGAAGGAGGTAGAGTGGGGCTCTGCTTTCCACCCCCAGAGGAAATAAAGATGACTGGGGGTAAGGGTATAAGATAGGTGTCCTGGGTGGCAGGACTGCTATCACCAGCTTGTGCTATTCCAGGGGGGTGATGGGTGGGGACCCCAGGCTACTTGACTTTTGATTGGTATCACCACCCCCTCCTCTGTGTCTGCAGAAGCTGCAGGAATCATGCGGGATATTGGCACTGCCATCCAGTTCCTGCACAGCCAGAACATCGCCCACCGAGATGTCAAGGTGAGGCTCTAGGACCCAGGTTGGGGGACCAGAGAAGGGAGTACACAACCCTCAATGGCTCCCAGCTCCCACTAGATGGAGGCAAGTTTCCTTGATCAGTATTCAAAGCTTCTGCCCCCTGGCCCAGACTGCTCTTCTCAGCTACTTCTCCCATGGTTTCAACATACTCCTGCTCTAGCCAGATGAGTCTTCTTGTTTCTTTTAAACACTGTGCAATCCCAGTAGCAATCTCAGCATAACTGAGTGCCTGCCTTAAGCCAGTAGACACTGACAAGCATCTTGTTTAATCCTCATATAACCCTGTGACAGGAGCCATTACCCATTTTACAGATGAGGAAGACAAGTCTCAGAGAGAGATTGTGCCTTGCCTAAGCCTGCACAGATGCCACACTGGGATTCACTCATTCATTCTTTCAGCAAGGATTTTTGTGAACATGCAATGTGCCAGGTGTCAGGCAGGGGTTGCCTGACACTGTTGGGGCTTCTGTGAAGTAAGAGCCATAGTTTTGGTAGATTAGGCCCTCGAATGCCAGCATTTTAAGGGAAAGAAACCATTTGCTGAGGTAGTCCCAGCCCCTGGGCCTGTTTGCCCTTTCAGTGGATGGGCTTCAGACACTTTCTAGAAGCTCAGCTCTCCAAATGTCCTATCTAGGGAGGACTGGGTGCTATAGTTCATCAGGAGTGGATGGGCAAAATGCAAACATGTATGCATGTGTGAGGCAGTCCCGCACACACATGCATACATGTGCCAGCCACCATCAGAGCAGAATCTGTGAGTCCTGAGCCTCTGCCCCAGGCTTAGAGCATCACCCTGGGGTCTATTTCCTCCTGAGACTGGGTAGAGAGGGTGAGAGGGCCCAGCTGCAGCATCAGGCTCCTCCTCTGGCTGAGTATTGCCAGTCCATTTAGCTTTTGATTCTGGATACATGTGGGATCAGGACAGACTCACCTTCCGAACTCTTGCTTTATTTTGGCCCTGGCTTCCTCTTTTTTCCCCCAAGGAGAGAAAAGGCTTCTGTAGAGGTGACTCCCTTGAATAAACTAAACATGCTTTCCTGTTTTTATCCCAATCCAAGGTCAGATCATCTTAAACAGAACTGGAGAAAAAGCTTTCACTGGCTCCAAACTGGAATTCTATCCAATACCCTGTCCTTTTACTCCAGGTCTGCTTGAGGGTCCCTCCTTTCCTCCAGGGGCCTAGGTCCTACCCATGAGCATGGAGGAGGGCACTTGTGGGGATGAGCACTGCGTGTTACATGGAAACCAACTTGACAATAAACTATTAACAAAAATAAAAAAATAAAACCAGCTTCAGGGCTGCCTCCTCTATACAGACCTCCCATTGCTCTTTTCCTCAGGCTCTCTCTGCTTTGCAACCATGAAGAACAGCTTCTGTGTAACTCCTGGGGCCTAAGTGGTGGGGGCCTTTTCCCTGAGCAATGTCAGGCAGCACTGCCCTGCTAGCTTAGTCTGGGTTGGGCACAAGGACATGGACTTGACAGCCTACCTTGCCCCAGAACCCTCATTTTGGTATTTCATGGCAGTATTACCAACATAGTCTCCAAAGTTCCTGCCCCTGGGCTCTCTGTGGCACTTGGCTTTTCACAGCTTTTGCTGAACACCTGCCTCTGTTTCCCTTCTGGGAAAGGAGGCATCACCTCTCAGCCACCTTGGTCTTTTCCATGTTTGGCCCATGTTGTTAGTAACCAGGGCCCAGGTCATTTTAATGAGATGGAGCTGGTTCCTCCTGAATGGATTGGGGTGAAGGAAGTCTGCCTGAAGATCATCTTGGGACTCTGCCCCTGCTTGGTGCTTAACTCCAGACCAATGTTTTATCTTCCTGGCCCAGCCTGAAAACCTGCTCTACACGTCCAAGGAGAAAGATGCAGTACTCAAACTCACTGACTTTGGCTTTGCCAAGGAGACCACTCAAAATGCCCTGCAGACACCCTGCTACACTCCCTATTATGTGGGTGAGTCCTTGGGATATGGTTTGTATGCCCCTACTCCTACTGGACCCTGCTGTGGTCCAGAGGGGGCAGTCCATGGGTTGCAGAAGCCAAAGGGTTAAAGCCCAGTAAGGAGGGAGGAAAGGATTCTATGGAGGCGGTGACGTGGGGGGCCGGAGGCTGCAAAAATATTCTCCCAAACTTCAGCTTCTGCTTTTGAAAATAGATCCAGGAAAATTCTGGCTGTGGCCTGTGAGCTGAATGACATCACAGCAGCTCTAAATATATACGTGATAAAAGGCTGCCATCAGCTCGGGACGGAGCCCAACCTCAGTTGTTTTTCTCCAGTTTTTATCTTCCTGGTATTCATATTCAGAAAGTAGACAGGCCTTTCCTATTACATTAGAAGGATACAGGGCACCAGCCATTTGTCTTGAGGGAGAGGTCCCTTTGACCAGGGCACGGATGGGACTTGGGGGTGTCACATATTCGTGCTTCCCAGAGAAGCTCCTTGCTTCCTTGTGAGTGGGCAGCCCAGATCTGGAAAGGCCCCTGATGCAAGTACCCCTACTGTGAGAGAGGGGTGATGGCTCGATTTACAGAGGGCTCTTTTCCCTCAGGGAGGCCTTGCAAGAGAGCTGCTGAAGGGGTGGGGAGCCCTTGAGACAGCTGAAACTGTATCCTGTTTACCAGGATGTGTTTTGCAGTATTTTGGCTTGGAAATCTTCTGGCCTACCCATCTCATTGCACAGGTGGGAAGAACAAGGCCCCATGGGATGGTAGCCAAGCTGAAAGTAGAAACCAGAGCCCTACCCCTGGCCCCTCCTTGCCCATGATCTGGGCTGTACATTCAGGGAAACAAGAGACACAGGGCAGTTGGTGGGCTGAGGCCCTCTCACCTGTGGCAGGACCCCACCAAATCCCAGACTGGACTTCTCTCCCTCTCCTCCCTCACCAAGACTGATATTGGGCCAAAGAACCTAGGAGGCTATCATTCTTTACAGCCCAGCCTAAAAACGGGTTTATTTTTCCTGGGAGCTGTTTTTCCTCATGCAACTTCACACACATTCTGCCTTCCCAGAAGGTGCCAGACACCAGTCTGCTCTGCCCCACCCCCCAGCCCAGACACCTGTTCCCCACCTTGCTAGGCTTCATGCTCCTATCTGGGCTTCAGGACCTTTGGGGCTGAATGCCCTCCTGTGCCCTCTGCCCTGCTAGCTCCTGAGGTCTTGGGTCCAGAGAAGTATGACAAGTCGTGTGACATGTGGTCCCTGGGCGTCATCATGTACATTCTGTGAGTACCACTACCTTCACCCCTACACTACTCCCTCATATCCTCAGAACCACTCTGCCTTCCCTTCTAATTTCTGATCAGGGGACATCCCTCCTTCAGGTTGCTTGAAAGTCTTTCCATGCCAAGGGCAGATGGCATTCCTAGGATAAGCCCAGAGTCCAGAGGGCTGGATTCTTACCGAGGTGGCTGCCTATCTTCCCAGTCAGGGATTTGGGGAGGGGAATGGGTCTACCCTGGCGTTGCCCTCACACCTGTGCTGAATGACCTTCGCTCTCCTGCAGCCTGTGTGGCTTCCCACCCTTCTACTCCAACACGGGCCAGGCCATCTCCCCAGGGATGAAGAGGAGGATCCGCTTGGGCCAGTATGGCTTCCCCAATCCTGAATGGTCAGAGGTTTCTGAGGATGGTGAGCTTGCTCCAATGGACCCCATTAGCCTTCATTCTGGGAGATACCACTTTGGTGTAAAGCAACCTATGTTCAAATCTTGTGTGTGTGACATCCCACATCCCATATCCCATATCCCAGCTGTGTGACCCTAGGCAAGTTACCCAAACTTTCTAAACTTCAGTTTCTATATCTGCCAAGTGGGCTGAAAACTTGCCTCCTCAAAACTTCCTCTAACTCCTGTCCCTTACTAATATTTCTCCCTTTAGGGACCCGGTATCCATTCTCTATGGCTGCTTCATGAGTCCCATTCCCCCCCCGCCCCCCTCGCCCGTGCTTAGTGGCTTAACACAAGAAACAGTTATTAGCTCACTGTTTCTATGGCTTAGGAATTTGGGGGCATGTGCAGAGCAGGGGGTGCTGGCTCTGAGGAACTCTGTAACCTCCCCACTCCCCATTCTTCCCCAGCTAAGCAGCTGATCCGCCTCCTGCTGAAGACAGACCCCACAGAGAGGCTGACCATCACACAGTTCATGAACCATCCCTGGATCAATGTGAGCGCCTCTGTGCCCTATGGTGGGCAGGGTGGCAAGCTGGAGTGGGGCTGCAGGCAGGAGGGTGATGGCTTTGGAGGTCCTGGTGCAGGCCACAGATGTGTGATAGGACCCCACTGAGAGCCTAACTTTGCCACAGCTCCAGTCAGGCTCCTTCACCTCACTGAGCCTTGGATGTCCCATCTGAGACAGGAAGAAAGGGGTTGGGAGTGGGGAGCCAGTGCTCTCCCAGGTGACTGCAGGTTCTAATCCATGGGCTTGGGGCTCCTTTCAGCAATCGATGGTGGTGCCACAGACCCCGCTTCACACGGCCCGGGTGCTGCAGGAGGATAGAGACCACTGGGATGAGGTCAAGGTAGGTAGATGCTGCCTCAGTCTCCTTACAGCTTCCAGTGTTTTGGAAAAAGGGACTCCAGGGTGGTGGCTACAGAGAGCCTGGGTCGTCAGCCCCTCCCTGGTGCCTAGAGCACAGAGTGTCACTACTGCACCAGTGTCCCAACTGTGGCACTTAGAGCATTGGGCTGCACTACTGCATTCAGGGCAGTGCTTCTGGCTCATGGGGACTTTGGGCCAGGGGTTTAGTGAAGGGGCTTTGGCCATAACCCCCCTACAGTTTCTATTTGGGTGGGTGGTCAGCCTGGTTTAGACTCAGCAGAAGCCAGGTTTGAGCATATGAGACAGCAGATCAGAGCCCCAGGATACCCTAGATACAATCTTCAGGCTTCCGTGTCCTGGGTGCCTTTCTAGATAATGTCCCCTGCAAGCCTGTGGCTCTTAGCAGGTGACATTGGCCAAAGTCCCTCTCCTACTTACACTTGTGTGGTCCCAGGGAGTCACTATACTTTCTGTGTCTTAGTGGATAAGCTCAGTGTGTGTCTACCAGAAAGGACTGTAGTGAGATTATGTGACACAAGGGGTGGCCCAGTGCTGGGCGCTTGGGCAATAAAGGCTGTTACTGTCCTCATTGACATTAGAAAGGGGCTTGAGGCAGGAGGGTGATGGCTCTTGAGGCCAGTACATCCTGACTTCCATGGATATCTGTCCCCAGGAGGAGATGACCAGTGCCCTGGCAACCATGCGTGTGGACTATGACCAGGTGCAGATCAAGGACCTGAAGACCTCTAACAATCGACTGCTCAACAAGCGGAGAAAGAAGCAAGCAGGCAGCTCCTCAGCCTCACAGGGGTGCAACAACCAGTAGCTCACGGGGCCTTGGATGAGCTGGGCCTCTCGGTGTGGGGCACAGACCAGAGTGTGCTGAGGCCCTGACCCAGAGGGCCTGAGGTCATTATTTTTAACAAAAGGATCATTTTTGTTGTGTTTTAATTTGTCACTTAGAACATCAGGATGGGAGACTGTGACTCCAAACCTCACTAGAGAGGGCCCAGAGCTCGGGAGTTAGGGAGCCACCTGCCACAGCTGTAACGCCTCTGGCCAGAGCAGCCCTAGTGAGACAGAGGTCTGTCCTGCGCTGGGGCATGGCCTTAGACTTCTAGGCTACTGGGGGTTGTGGTGGGCTTCCCTCCTCCTATGGAGACACCCCTCTGTGGGGTGGGCAGATGGGCCTGGCCTTGGGAAAGGCATCTGGCCATTGGTTGCCATGGTGACCAGGGACCGAGTTGCTGTCTGTGAATGCTGAGTAAGAGAGCAAGGGAGGGAGAAGGGGCAATTGAGGGTCTACCTCTGTTTCCTTGGAGAGGCTTATCTCCCTCACACTACTTGCCCTTCTCAGGATTCCTCCCTTTGGTCTCCTTAAGGCCACAGGGGCAGTCTGCCTGCCTCGCTGGGGCATCCAGCCCTATCTTGCTGCAACCCCATCCCACAGGGCCCTTGGAGCTCGCTCTCTGCAGAGTCCCTGGGCCTAGTTTTCCTGTTACTAACCCTTACGCAAAGAGTGGCCTCTCATCTCAGGGAAGGGTGGGAGGTATTTTTAACCCTTTTCTACTTTGGAAACTGACCCTGTGACAAAAGCTGGTACAGTTCTCCTGCCCTCACTCGCTCACCAGATCCCAGACAAGAAAGCTTCTCTCTGTAATGGTTCATCCTCCACCTTGTCCTGGTTGATAGCAGGGACTGTCTCCTGGTGTACTTTTGTGAGAGTGGATGGCTGAGGACAAGACCAAGAGGCTTCCCGTTAATCAGGGGTCTCTTTCTATACTCTGGGTCAGACCTGAGGCAGTGGAGGGCTGCTGAGTGATGCTTAGAAGGTCTGGTTCTGGGTCCTGGCTTCGGCCTGAGCGGGAAAAGAGAGGATCCCTTCCTTGCTGGCCCAGACTTACCCAGGCCCACCCTGCCCGGTGTAGCCTCAGGGTTCTTAGTGCCTGATAGGGGCCTGACAAGTGCCTGATTCACAGCCTGGTTCCTGACCCTCTCTCACTGGCTGGGAAGCCCTAGACCACATCAGGTAGGAAAACACCACTGGGGTTTACATCTAGATATTAATAAACACCATTTTGGGATTTTCTCCTGGTTCCTAGGTTTCTCTGTCTACATGAGTGGACAAAAGTGGCCCAAGGGCAGCTGCTCACACCTACTAGTGATTTCACCCCCTTCAGGCTTGGTAAACATGCCAGGCTGGCTCCAGGGCCACCGTGGCCTTGCCAGGCGGGAAAGGTCAGAGGAGTGGAGGAATGGCAGCTGTCTCATGCCACCAGGTCTGGGGTGCCCAGTGCACTGTGTGTGTGACACCCACCCCCGGGCCGTGCGTGCACCAGCGTCTGCCCACAGTGGCCACCCCCAGCTGCATGCCAGCCTGCTGAAGGGCGGGCAGAGAGCCTGCTGCAGTGCTGAGCTATTTTCAGAAGCTGCCAGATTTCATTTGGCAGGGAGAATGTCGGGGAGGGAAGGGGGCGGGATGCTGGAGACTGTCTTTTGACTATTCCGGCAGCAGAGCACCGTCAGCCCTCAGGAGCCCTTGCGGGCAGCCTAGATGGGGGGCCCTGGCTGTGGCATCTTCCCTCAGCTCCTATCTTGAAACCTCCCAGTTTTCCAAGAGCTCATCTGGCACCTGCAGCTCTCCCTCCTCCACCTCCCATCCCCTCAGAGTGTGGGGGAGATGGTTGAAGGCAGGGGGAAGCCAGCACTCCTGAAATATAGACTCCTTCCTAGCTTGGCGACCTGGGACAAGTCCCCAAGCTTTCCCGCCTCACTTTCGTCAACTGCAGTAGGGAGGTAGTGCCCACCCTGGGGAGTCATCTGGGGGATCTGGGCCGATGATGTGTGTGAAGTGCTTGGTGAGCTGCCTAGTTCATGGCTATTGCCCACACCCTTGTGCTACCCCAACATCTTTAGCCATCAGGAAGGAGATGAAGTTGCCAGAGAGAGAAGGGACCCAGCCCCAAATCTACCTATGGGACTTCCCACCCAGAAAATCAGGCTTTCTCTACCCATGGGGTTTCACTTTCAAGGGTCTGCTCTCCAGAGAAGCATCATATGGGCTTCTTGAACTGCAGTTGCAGTCCTGGGCTTCAAGGAGGGTGGCCTACTCTTCTGAAGAGCTCACAGAGCCTGTGGTTCTGACTAATCCTCCTCATGTACTCTAACCAGTGAAATGCTGGGCAGATGCAAAGGCAGATAGTCTTTCTAGTCATAAAGCTGAAGAGCTGCAGACAGACTCCTTCACTTGGCCTCTGAGCATGCATTGTGCCTGAGCTCCCGTACTGGGCGCAAGGAAAGCAGCAGTGAAAGCTGCACACGGCTCTCAGGAAATTTACACTCATCAGGAAGGAGAAACTATCACACATATGTGCCAAATCACAGGCTCAGTTTGATCTGTGAAGGAAGGACGTGGCTTGAGAAGATGGTGTCATAGGGCCTTTTAAGCCAAAGAGGGAATTGATGCACCCCAGTGGCTGAAGAGGGTGCCAGATAGTTTATAGGACTGAAGTCAGAATTGCAGGGACCAGGGCCTTGGGGACAGAGGGACTCTGTGCTCAGCTCTGGTTGTCTGTGCCTTTCCCTGGCCTTCTTGGCAGCCAAGACCATGGCTTTAGCAGTTCCAGCAGGGAGGCATCTGCCAGGTGCCTGTACTCCGAACCCAGGGAAGGATTCTTATTGGCCATATGTCGCCCATCACTGTTGTGGGGAAGTGGAGGGGGTGACTATGTCAGTGGGGTGCAGCAGAGGTAGTTAGTAAAGGAGAAGGTAGAATGATTGCCCATGTCCGCTTGGCCACTTCCAAGAGCTCAAGAGAAGCATGGCTCCCTGATCTCTGGTATCAGGTACAGCTCTCATAAGCCAGGGCTAGGAGGCTGGATGCTTGGCTAAGTCACACTCCTTGGGCCTCAGTGTGGCTATCTGTGAAATGGGAGCGAATCTCTGACAATCAGCTAGAATTAGGCTAACTAAAAAGCCAAGTTGCCACATGTTCTCATCAGCCTGTTCAGATACAGGCATTTGCTTGGCCTGCATGGTGGCTTTCCTGGGACTTTTCAATAAAGAATCCATAGAGGTAGATGTATTCACATGTGTGCATGAGTGAATGCGTGTGTGTGTGTGTGTGTGTGTGTGTGTGAGACATTGCTTCCCAGTGATACTTCCCCTGACCCAGCTGACAGCAGAGTTCTCTGTCTTGCAAACCTGGTGCTGGCTGGCTTCCAGGAGCCTGGCTCATTGCTATTCCACACCACCCCCTCTCCATCCTCGATTCAGCCCCTCCACTGCAGTGTCAGAATTGAGCCTCAAATGCAGCCAGCCACAACCTCTGCAGGGGGCTCAGTGCTCCCAGGCCTGCTCAAAACTCTCTAGCAGTCATGGGGAGGAAGCATAGGCCCTGGGTAGCTGTCTCCAGACCTGACTGCCTCTGGCTGAGCCTTTGCATCTTCAGTGGGTCCTCACAGCTGCCCTCAAACCCAGCAGGGTAAAATTCTTCCTTTTGTCCCACTGGGCACCCAGCATGTTCACCCCTTGAAATGGGGGCCAGCGGCCAGGGAAGGGTCTGGGAAGTCCAGCTCCCTCCCTGTGAGTGGGGTAGGGTGGCGTTGGGTTATTTAGTTTAGAGCCAGGACACCTGAGCTTTGGTTTACATGAGACCTTGGGCAAGGCTGTTCCACTTTTTGACGTTCCTCATCCTCATCAGTAAAATGAGACATTGATTAAGCAGGGCCAGATCCTTTCTGCACCCTTGGCAGACATGCTGCCACCAGTTGATGGAAGATCACACACTTTGCTGGGCCTCAGTTTCTTATCTTTTAAATGAGAGTAGTCCTCACAAGTAGTCCTTAAGTGGGCAAGATGGTAGTAGAAAGGGGGAGAGGGACAGCCAAGTCCAAAGGCCTTGGTCACCAATATTGCCCAAATGTCTGCTAGGTGACATGTCAAGGTGCCAGGATTCTGCCAGCTCTGCCCTTTTTCTGTTTTCCGTGACCAGGAGAAAGCAGCTGGAGGAACCAGTTTGCTAGAGCTCAGACTAGTTGATCAGGGCAGGTTCATTGGGGTGTGGAGCCACCTGCTGGCCACCCCAGTGAGCATTCAGTAGATGCCTACTGTGTGCCAGAGCCTGAGGGAGCTGTGGTCCTGCCCTGGTGGAGGGGAAGGCTACAACGTCACGATGAACAGCTGCTGTTTTTTGAGTGCTTACTGTGTGGCAGGACGGGGCTGGAACTTTACATGGACCATCTCAGTCCTCACATTCTCATCTTACAGATTGAGAAACTGAGCCCCAAGCTCTTAGCGACTGCCCTTCCTACTGGAGAAGGTCAGAGGAAGGAATACTACTTTTAGCTGGGGGCAAGCATGGAAGGATTCCAAGATGTGGTGACACGTCAATTTGGAGAGACAGAGATTTGGGAAAAGGGCATTCCAGCTGGCAAGTAGAGGGTGAGGCAAGGCGAGGAGGCAGGAATGGGATGTACTTGTATGAAGGATGGAGAACAAGTAGTTTTAATGGGTGAGAGGCAACCATGGCAAGGAGATATCTCATTTTTTAAAATCCCATTTCCTACAGGAAGGCAGAGTGGGGACCTCAGGGGTGAGACAGTGGGGCACCAGGTAGCAGCTTCCCCCTCTTAGCACGCCCAGGGCCGTCTAATGTATTCCCCACTCCTCAAATCTGCATGTGCCTCCCCTAGAGATACGCCCAGCCTTTAAGGTTAGTTTATCAAACAACCTGTCCACCTCCTCTTTCTGCTGTGGCATTTTCAGATGGCCCCTGTGTTGCTTGTCAAGAGCCAGATTTTTTCACACCTGACTCCCTGGGTCTTCAGGATGTGGTAGAGGGTCCTAGGGCTCTCCACTCTTGCTTCCAACAGAGCTGTTTTGTGTACTGGAGTTTCTCCTGAGATGTAATTTGAACAAGAGTTTACGTGCTTAAAAAAAGTTTATGGACCATTGAACCAGATACGTAAATAAAATATACCTCAAATCTTGCAGGTAGGCATTGCAATCCCATTTTACAGATGGGCAACCAAGGCTCAGTATGGCTAGGTGGCTTGCCGAAGTCCATGACTGGGCTCTGACATGGCAAACTGTCTTCAAGATTGTCCTTTCTCTACTATCCTTGCCCTCAGAGAGACTAGGCTCCATGAGGACGGACAGGAAGCAGCTGCCTGCACTGTCTGGTGGGCTGCAACCAAATGCTAAGGGGGAGCAGAGGTGACTTGTGATCATGGCTCTTGTAGGCAGGCTTACTTTCCTCTTTGTGGGGAGTTCAGAGAAAGTTGGGACAAAGAGGAGGTGATGGGGATGAAGACGCACTGGGGAGACTGCCTTATCGCAAAAAAACCTGCTCCTGCTGCAGGGACAGTGTGGATAAAGCAGATTATACCCCCATTCCCCACCCCCAGGCTTCATCTGTGTTCACAGCAAGCCGATCAGCCCTCAGACCTGGCCAAGATTCTCTGTGTAGGAACCTGGTAAGTCCGTCAGCCACCCCCTGGAGCAGCTCCCCAGTACACCTTCACTTCCAGCTGATGAGATCTTGGTTCATGGGCCATGTCTCCCAACCTGGGCTACTGGGAATGCATGGAAGTTCTCAGGGCCTGCCGTGGAAAGGCCAGGTGAGTGAGTGTGCTGGGTTTCCCACCTCTGGGCTTAGCCTTCCAGTCCCACTTTGAGACCATGTCTTGAGAACCTAGAGTGTTCCAGGAATGTCTCATACAAGATTTCCTTTAATTTCTGTCTCTCCGTGAGCCCTCTTAGGCAGAGGTTATGCCCATCTTGCAGGCAAAGTCACTGAGGTTTGAGCAGCATCAGCTTCCTATATGTGGTGTGTAGCAGGTCAGAACCTGAAAGTATGGGGCTCTATAATCCCCTCCCTAAGAGGAAAGCTCTCGTCCAAAGAGTCCCAACCCTGGCTGATTCCTTCCCTGACCTGCCCTGGCTGGAGGTGTCACAAGCCTGCCCTTTTCTTCTGCTGGTCTCCTATGCCCCTTCTATGCCAAAGGAAGGGCTCTTGGGAGTCACTTCCCATACCCTCTAACCTCTGAACCTGGGAAGGGAGTGCCGGTTCCCTCTCAGGGTGGCTTA